AGCTCCCTGACGCCTTTGACTTTATCTTCCCAAAATAGTTTAGTATCTAAGTGACCCAAGGAAAAAAAGAAAATTTCATCTTTCCATTTCCCTGTCAAAGCACTATGCTTCAATTTGTTGGGATAACTATTGAACGAAATGTTACCCAGAACTTGACAAACAGGTAGAAACCTTCTGCCCTGAGGCACTTACAATATCAATATAAGATAAAAGTTGGTCATTGAAAGGCAAAGAGGCACAGATGTTTCTGGCGGGATTCCCTACATTATTTAGTTTAATAAAAGGTGTGATTAGAGGAAGTGCTTGAAGAAGGAGAGGGTAATCATTTAGTGTGCAGAAGTGGAAGGCAGCTTTGTGTGTAGGGGTTGGTATACTGTTGTGAAAAGCATACTTTAAAAGCAAGCATTAATTGAAAAGAGGTGAAAGAGGTACAAGACCAGACAATTAAGATGTTGTCTTTGGAGCATAGTTTAAAATAGTAGCAAAGAGGTTAACATTGTGGTTATTGAAATACGTAAGCCCTGTAGCTTATTTCAAAAAGACTTAAAACCATAAAGGCATTTTGTAATCTGTACCACATAGGTAAGAAATGTTCCGTTTGTATGTTCTTTCTAAAGTTGTTTATGTGAAGCAGGTTAGGTGGCAGTAAGAGTAACAGTGTTTAATCTAGTTCTCCCAAACATGCAATAGAAATAAATTAGGACCAGCATACTAATTTTTGCTCATTGTTAAATGTAAAAGTCCAAAAACCCTGTATTAATGGAACATAGAATTTGAGATTTTAGTTGCACAGAAGTCAGGGGATTCAGATAGATGGTTCCCATAGCAACCTTAACTCTTTCTGTTTATCATTTCACTAAGGTCTTTCATTACATGATTGCGCCATACATTACATGGCAACAAAAATTTCATCATAATAAGTAGATGAGAGGGTACAAAGTAAAGGTTGGATTTACTCAACTTTCCTGGTTTTCATGTTTTGTGTTACTCAGAAAACAGATAGATGTTTAGACCCTTGATTTAAATATATTTGACACCCTCTATAAATGTGATTTTTGGAATGGCTAATAGAGTACAGAATTTTAAAGATGGAAGTATTAAGACAATTCAAAATAAAAGTATTGCCAAGTAGACTATGGAGCCATCATGACCAGAATTCGAACCAAACCACTTTTTACTATTAGTTGGAAGCTTTCAACCTCCAGATAGAGGGAAAAGAGAAATGGAAAATGGCAGGCAATCACAACTTTTTTTCTGATTATTGAAAGTAGTTTACCAAAATTACAATTGTGTGGGTAGTGCTTTTTAGTAATGGAATTCTTAGATAGGATATACTGTTTGGTCTCTTTATAAGAACTAATGCAGGGAATAACTTGGTCTACAGATCTAAATCTGTCTCTGCAAGGAGCCTTAAAAGTTTAAGAGTTTCAGTCCTTCACATAGGTCTGGGACAGACACTGCATAAACCAATTTGGCCCAAGTCTGATACTACATTCAACCAGGTTTATCTTAAACCAGTTTCAGTCATTTTGAAACTGGTTTATGTGCATTGAACTTATGTTCTGTTACAGGTTTAAACCAGTTTCTGATCACTTAAACCAGTTTATGTGTAATGTCTGTCCCTTGGCATAAAGGTCCAATTGCAGGAATACAGTTTTCTCAACAGAAAGTACCCACAAATAAATTATTAGGCTCTTGGAACCAGAGGACATAATGGTGAAGCAGAGACAATAAACTTGTTGAAGAATGTTGCTGCCTTTTTCCTCTCTACCTTATAGGATTCACCAGTCTTTTATTTGAAGTGCTAACTTAGTGCTAAGGGAGATGTATCACTTGGGAATCAAAGGAATCTTCCATGGGCAAAGAACAGTGGAGACCCTTTTCTGCTTAAGTCTTCCAGTTGTAATAACTATGCATTGCCCTAATAAGGAAATATCTGACTGATAGCATGGTGTTTCCTTTGGTATTTTTCATAGGGCTCTAAATGTTTTATGCACTGAAGATAAAAGTGTTGTTTGTGCTTCATTTATCCTATTGTAGTTTGTCCTATCTCAGCACTTCTCTTCAGAAATTTATAATGTAGGGTTTAAGCTCAGTTGCTAGTTTATGAGATTCCATTTAAAGATAGTTTTTCTTTAACCATTTTGTTTTTAAAATGCTGCAGTTAATTTTTAGGTTACTGGGATCCAAAATAGAGTAGGTATGAATTACATGGGAGCGGAGAAGGAAGTGCTTCAGAAGCACAAAATGGCTGATTTTCTTTAAAAATAACTAAAATTTAGCTTGGGATTCTGCATAATACAATCCAGTCTACTAATTCTTTTCCCTAAAAAAAACCTTAAATCCACATTTCACAAGCTTCCTTAAATCCTCTGGAAGCTAGTGAATCTCTGAGAGGGTGTTATAGGACTAGCTCTTGTCCGGGATCTGGGAAAAGCTACAAAGATTTAACATGGTAAAAAAGAGGGAGGGATCCTGGCCACTGTAAGACTGGTTGAATCATTACTCTAGCCTGCTGTTACTCCCAAGTGGCCCCAGAAATCCCTTTTTGAGGACCGGTGACCTACCCCTGGTCTGTATCCCTGGTATGTCCATACTCCCCACTTGCTGGGTTCAGTTCCCATAATCAGGTCAGTATTAATATGGGTTTTTTGTCTGAAGAGCTAAATATTAATTTAGACTTTGTGTAACAAGAGTTGAACTTTATACTTTGTACAAAAACATTCTATACTAAGCCCCTCTCAACAGATCTCAATACCAGTATGTTGTATGTGTTCAGAGAATTTCTGTTCCGTGCATTTATGAACACCATATCAGAATTAAGATTCGCAATTCAAATTGGAAGGAAAAATTTCACCCTTATTGTTTTGTGCCATTTATATGAAATCTGTCAAGCAACAGAAACACTTCTATTTTCAGTCCTTTTTCTTCCCACTGCTTATCAGTGAACATCATATAATAAATTAGAATGTGGTCTTCTCCTTTAGTTCTGCTAGGATAATATTTAAAAAACAGGAGAGAATGAAGAGGAAGTGAAAAATATTTGTTCAACATGTTTAAGCCTTTCTAAATTAGGATCTAAAGGATTTATGATTTTTTTTGTGTGTGTCAAAATTAGCTTACCAGGTTTAAGACTGAAAACTAGCCAGTGGGCTTGAAGTTTAAAAGATCTGTCTCTGGGTAAATCCAGTCTTCCTCCATTGCCTAATCTTATTATGTACCTGTTAGCATTGAGTTTGGCGCATATATATGTGATGGAATGGTCTGTTTTAATGACACTAGGGGCTGGTCTATAGCATGGACTTATATAGTAATAAGAGAGCCCTTTTTCTGGTCTTAGCTAAAATGCATCTGCTCTTTCAAAACAAGAATGCACTTGTGAGCTCCAAATTGTAAAATAATGACCAGTTCTGAAAACTGAGGAAATCACAAAAGGTAATAAAACACCAGACTACTGCTATAATCAGACTTAAGAGATTCTTACTTTGACAAAAAGAGAAAGAGGTTTAGACTCAACCATTCTGAAAAAAAACAAGTAAAATGCTTCTGCTGCATTGAGCATCCTATCCTAATTGCATGGGAAACATTTAGCCATTAACAAAATAAGAGTATCATGTGACCTATGCCACACTGTTTGCCCAAATGCATCAGGCTTAAAGCCAAAATGCACCACAAGCAGTTTCCTGAAAACACCTGTAGATATCCAGATGAAATTTTTTTGAAAACTTTTGGTTCTACAGAATACACCTCTGAAAATTGATTGTGCTATTACAGTTGGATGAATCAAACAGCTCTTGTTCTGCTTGCTTACCCCTTAATATAGCAGGACATTGTTCTGCTATCTTGTTGGCCACACATGCCAAGGTAGACAAGTTAACAAAAAATATTAGAGTCTAGGCATTTATGTAAAATTATTAGTGGCTGACTTCACTGCATAATTGTTTGTGTTTTTGTCTCCATTACTTAGCTTGGTGATGTTCACTGTTGCAAGGGTTGTCTTGAGCTGCTGAACCTTAGGCTCATCTGTTTTGACTTTTCACTCAGCATCTGTTTTAGCAGTGGATTTCCCTGCACATTAAACTTCAACACCTCACATTCGTGACACTGTAACAAGAGTCAACAAAAAGTAAACACTGTGTCTAGGAGTTCTTAATTGGTGCCTCACAACAGCACTAGCAACTTTCCCCTCCCCCTTGTCCTATCAAGAAATACTGTGAGGAGTGGCAGGGCACCATTAGTGTCATCCTCTATGACAAATTCAAATCAGTGATTCAGTTTAAATACTCCTCCTCATTTTTACATCAACAGCATTGATTCCTACTCTGTGTGCATTTATTTAGTTTCTTCTTCCTGTTTCCTTAGAATAAGGAGGAACAACATTGAAATAGCCTACTTTAAATACACTATTTGGTGACGGTGGTGGTGTTTCTGATCCTAAATTTAAAATGAAATGTGTCATGTGTTAAAATTGATCATACACTAAACATCTTAAACCTTTAATGGTATCACTTACAGTGGGAAGTATGTATTGTAGTACAGACACTTTATCAGCTCATTCACTCCCAGAGTTTATTGACTGTTTCCAGTTTCAGAGGAAAGAGGTCAGAATGGTCCTCTCTTTGCCAGTGGTAATGGGAGCCCTATAGTATTGACCTCGTAGATCTGTATTCAGTTTCTTTCCCTAATGTAAAATGTAACAGCCTTCTACCCACTGGGCAGTTTGCTCTACTGTAACACTGCTGAATTTCTCTTGCAGTCTGTGTCAAGGTTTGAACTTTCCAAATTATGTATTTCAGACATTGAGAAAGAAAGGACTTAATGGCTGTGACAGTCCAGACCCCGATGCAGATGATTCAGTAGGTCACAGCCCTGAGTCTGAGGACAAGTACAGGAAAATTAATGAAGATATTGATCTAATGATCAGCAGGCAAAGATTGTGTGTAAGTACTCTGAGCCCCTTTCATTTTTTTTACTTTTTGATATTTCTCTGAACCTGGCAGGCATTGAACAAGAAAGAAAACAAAGGTTGTGAAAGCCCCGATCCTGACTCCTCTTACGCTCTCACCCCACGCACTGAAGAAAAATACAAAAAAATTAATGAAGAATTTGATAATATGATCAAGAGCCATAAAATACCTGTAAGTACCAAAGGTTAGATGGCTGTTTGCTCATAACTGCTGCAGTAACCTACCTTAACCCTTTCAGTTCTGGTCTTTTATCCAAAGCATTTCAGGTAGAAATGGGTTTTCATAGCCCACATATATAATCAAATAACATGGCTATAAAATTTCACGCAACCATATTTTTCTCTTGAAGTCTCTGCATTTGACACATAGGCAATGCCTATTACAGGTGAAACCTATAGAAGGAACTGAAATATACATATACACATTATATTCACTCAGTTTACAGAACTGTTTACCACACCACTCGCCTAAATTATATCTAAAACATAACAATGGGAATCCTTCTTTGTAGACAGGCCAGCAAACCCACATAATACTTTCTGTGGTGATATAGAAAAAACAATGTAGAACTGAAATTATTTTATATATAGCAATTAATGCATTTTGTGCGTGTCACTTCATTTCTTAAGCCTCTGTGCTAAATTCAGTTACAGCACTGAAGGGTTACAGCTAATTGCTCGCTGCAGAGAAACAGACTGCATGAGAGCCTAATGGTAGGATTCAGACATGTTTGTGTGTTGGGGTGATTTACAGCTTTATCAGAAGATTTGCTTTGACCTCTTCAGCATTTCTTTAATGGTTTAACATGAGCTAAATTTTTGTTTTAACAAAGTCAAAAATTCTAACCGTCGGTCATATGCCTTGCCAGATACGTAAGAGAAATAACTCCGCATGTGCTATTTTGTTTGCACAAACATAAAGAAAAAATAAGTTTTGTCACTGTTTAATAACATTACACTTGTGGTACAAACTGACCAAAGCTAAGAAATTTACAGTTGCATCTGACCTGTCCTTGTGAAGGAAAGGGTAGAAAACTGTGTAAGAAAAATAAAGAGCATTTATCTTTATTTACAGCCAAACTTTCAGCCAGCTTCAAGCAAACATTAAAATTTGCATATCAGCATTTACACAATTAATGGCTTACACCCTGCCGAAGTGAGGGTGCAATCATTTTGCATGTGCAGAACCCAAACTTGTACATGCAATTTGGGAGGTTGGATGCACCCAGAATTTGTAGTCACAGTCAGTTGCACATACAAAAGTTGAAATCCAAACTAATAGCAAGTTTCCCTTAAGAATTATCTGATTCTTCTCTCACAATTTAAAGTTGTTTAAATCAGTCTTGTGAATAGTCTTTCATATGAGTCCTGGTATACCTTGTTAAAATCCTTAAAATGTGTATGAAACATTTAACTGAATTTAATTGAATACACTTCTGTTCCATTCCACCTCTACTTTTCCATTTCCCTTCTCTTCCTAATTGCTTTTATCAACAAAAGAATTTAAGCTGCCACCAGGGTTTTGGTAAATCAAGATTCTGGAAACCTGGTTCAGCAAGCAATGGTTACAACTTTAGGTTCAGACAGAAAAGCAGTTCCCCAGTCTAACTCATGGCACTTCACAGAAAGTACCGTGAAGGTGCAGACAGAAGTGATCATTTTTGCCCAATTCGGCCCCCGAATATGCTCTACAGCCATGGACAAATGCAAGTGCATGGCTGCAGAATGCTTTAAAAGGGCCCAATCCCACAACAATCTGAACTCTCATTTCATGGGGGTTCAGATGGAGGCGCTTCAAGGTAGAGCACCTTCATTAATTTGTGTCTGTGTATCCCAGGGGAAGGGCTGGGCTGATGCAGCCTTCCTCCTGGCGCTGTTTTCAGAATGGGAGTGGAAGGAGGGGAGTGGAGGGAGCTTGTTCTTGGGGTTGCACTGCCCACACTGGAGAGTGGGGCAGGTGTATTGGAGCCTTCCCAAAGATTGGGAAGTTCATCAACATGTTGATGAAAAAAGACTTTAATTTTTATTAATTTCTGTGAAACTGCTTTGTAGTTGTTTGATGAAAGGCATTATAAATTGCAAAATATTAATGTTACTATTTTTGTAAAGGAAGATTCTAACAGACTTCAGACTCACCCTGTACATTTATATATCACAAATCTGTGATAGTTGCTCTTAAATATAGTTGCACTCAAAGATACCCTTCACCATAACGGATGCAGGTTCATGAAGCAAAACTGGAAAAAAATGAACAAGTCAAACCTCGTAATGTCTAGGAAAGCATGATGTATAAATTAGACCTGTGCTTGAACATGTAAGAAAATAAAAATGCTGCCAGATCAAAATTGGCTTATCCTCTTAATGAAAAAGGTCAATAAAGTTTCCTCAGAATAGTCTGAGGATAAGAATTTACATGTTTCTTAAGTATCTGATAATGTGTGCTCACCAAAGCATTGCTGAAAGCACAGTGAATAGAAGTCCACTAGAAAGCAGCTACGGACATCTCTGTCTTTGAGCATAAGAATTAGCTAGACTTGGCTGAAATTTGCCAAAACATCTTTAAAAACATGAAAGCTAACACAGAATGTTTGTCTATTCATTTTTCAGGGTTTTTGACACCCAAGATTTTGTTTTCCACAATATTTTGTAGACCAGCTTGCAAAATTCACTCCTAGCTCAATGCTGTGTGATTTTACTCAGTTGAAATTTTACATTAGCCATCTTTTGACTTGTGGAAAGAAGACAGGCTAAGACAGAACAACATATCAGAAGTTACACACAATAACATTGTGTTGAATGCACTAAGGTACATCAGGTCCTGTCTGTGATAGACAAGATACATGCATGCTTGTTTTGCCTCCAGCAGTGGTAAAGGGATCTGTACCAGGTCCTGCACACATTAGTCAAGGAAACATGAATGTAAACACACATTTAAAGCAGCCAAAACCAAAGTAGTAAATTTGCAGCTGGGAGCTTGAGGGGTAATATTGGTGATGCCTTGTTTTCCACCAAGACCTCACAGTATACCCAAAGCAGGCACAAAGGTTATTTATGCCCCATATACTTTGACTGAACAAAGAATAAAATTAAGAACATGTTCTTTCAAATTAATTCGCACATAAAAACAAAGAATAAACCAACTTAACTAAGGTCAACTGCATGTAAAGTACACTGTAAGATGACCTCGCTGTATTCACACTCTATTTAAAAAGCATGCTAAACCAAACACTATATATATATGTCTAGTAATGAGGCATGTAAATTCTACAGCTAAATTAAGAATGCCTTTAGAGAATGACCGCAGAAAACCTAATAACTGTTTTGGCAATGTCCATATGTTTCAGTAGTGAATAAACTGTAGTGATAATAGTAGTAGCAGCAGCAGAAATCAGGATTGGGACCCCAAAGCTGTGCTCTGAGCAGTCACTGAAAAAAGACAATCCTTGTCCTGAATTGCTCACAGTCAATAGTCAGATACAAATGGATGAAAGGTAGAGAATGGAAGCAGAAGTCGATTAATTTAAATGGCTTTGTTATATCTTCAGGTGGATTTTTTTTAATTGGGACAGAAAGAAGGATTAAGAGATCAGGGAAATAAAAAAAAAAAAATGGAAAAGGTTAGGTACCCATCAGATAATCCAGGCCCTATGACCAGCAGGCTAGGATTTGTAGGCCCAACGGTACAGATGATTGTAACAGTATGCAGAATGATTCCAGAGGGGGGAGGGAGGGGATGGAAAGTGGGGTCACATGCAAAATCTCCAGCACCCAAGTGCCTCTTGAAGCCTACAGAGCAAGGAGAAAGTAGAATGCACACAGAATGACCCCGCGTGGGGAGCTCTGCACCTCCAAAACAGGCTGCCAGGTTAGCAGCCCCATGTTTACCTTTTCAACAGGAACACCCTAGTGGAGAGTTGGCAATCCAATTGGACCTGAATTCATGGCCCAGAACTTGTTAGAAGGGTAGAAGCCATCATTCCAACATGTAGCCCAAAATAGTTGATGTAGGATTTGGCTAGCAGCTTCATGACCAGCCCCTCTAATCTGTAGGGTTTCTGTCCCTACCTCAACCTCATTGGGCTCCCCTGCCACATCTCTGCTATTTGGGGTTTGTGCAGGAAGGTAAGATTTTAATTCATTGCATTTTTAGAATTTCCTACATACTTTATATAACTTTTCAGATTATTCAGTATGTGTGTAACTCTAAGGAATTGGGCCTGCAGTCATAATACACACAAAGATCCTATTTCTGAATCATGTGCATTGTGAAACTTCCTGTGTAGAACAGGTTCCATATGTAGGCAGAGGTTTGATAATGAACATAAAATCTTGTGAGGGTGCTGCAGAGAGGCCTCTAGTTGGATTTCAGTAGTTATATTTTTTAAATATGCAATTACTTATGCTGTCTCTCTATTTTTGAAAAGCAGGACATATCACTTAAATATCCAGAACTCCAGAACATAGTAATACATACAGATTTGATTGCTAGCCATTGAAACAAAGAAATAATATTCCCCCCCCCCTCCACCGACTTGAAACAGCCCCTTGAACCAGCCTTTCAGGAAAGTTGGCCATTAGGGACATCAGATATGACTGCATAGCAGCAAAGAAAAGTTAGTTCTACAATCATATTCTGCCCTGAACTGGAATCTTGTTCACTTGCTGCATATCAGTGGCAAACAAAATGATTTCTGTATTTATATGACTAAAATATGCCTGGAAAAAAGGAAAAAGGAGGGGAAAAGAGTAAAGGGGGTTTAAAACTGCCGTTAATTGAACAGCCAGTGATCCAGTATGCAAGACAGCAGTGAACTACTATCATGTAAATAACTGAATAGCCACAGAATCTATTTCTGGGTAGAACATGGATGAAGCTATGCCCCCTCCACCTTGTCCCGACACAACTGGGCTGTAGCACTATGCATACAGCAGTTCTCATCACATTCATGCCAGGCCCCAGAAGACATTGTCAGTTTACCAGCATTCAAAACATGAGTCAGCACCTGCCTCAAAATCATGTAGTTGGTTTACAAAAGATGAAATTTTTAAAGCAATGTACCTGAGTTTTTTTTCATTTGCCTCAGAAAACATTTTCAAGTTTTTCATTGCAACTATGAGAGCAGGTAAAAAAACCCATAAAGCCAGAATTGCCACATGTTCATCTTGATACCAGAACCTTAAGTATACAAGCAAGACTCACAAAACCATGGCTACTGCATTGTACATTTTGCAGATATAATGACTGCCATTTGACACTGCCACTCAAGACTGCTGCTGCTTCTGCTCCCTGTGAAGCTCAAAGACATAAGAGGCATAATTTGCCACAGTTGGCAAAATGCTTTATTGAAAGAGATCCTTCAGGACCAGGAGATTCTACTTTTAAACAAAGAAAAACAGTATATTGGAAAGGCCCATTTCTTCCTCCCTTCCCCCCCCCACAAAAAAATCAGTTTTGCTTTTTGTCACATTTTCAAGGAACACTTTGCTGCTTTTACATCCCTTCCAAAATATGGAAATAGTTTAACAAGAAAAGTAATTATGTTTGATCATGCCTTTAACATGATTGGGATTCATTCCGGTTGCTAAAGCTACTTGTGCTGAAACTAAAGCTTACCCTTCTGAATTCCACCCCTTCTAATTTTTTTCCATGAAATGAAGTCATCATAATTATTTACCTTTGATCTTACAGTCATCTGTGACACCAGATTAAGATATCACAAGTGAACAAATATGACTTCAATGCATGGAAGAAAAAGAAAATGCAGCTACATGAAGCAGGGTTTTCTTTTAAACAAAAGTGAGGAAGAAAACCCTTCCAGTGTTCACAAAGCAAAAGCACAAACTGCAGTAAAGTATAGTGATTTTTAAAGCCATTTTTAAAAACCTTGTTTAGTGCCTAAACCATAGTTAGTTCCTACTTTTTAAACTCTTCTCTTGATTCTCATGGGGAGGGGAGTTTAAATGTTTTAACCACCAGTTCCAAATTTTTGAACTAAATATAGAGTAACTGTACTTGAAGACTGTTGTGCTTCTGTACTATTCTTGTCTTTGTTTCCCTTTTTTTGCATGTACAGGCTGTTCCACCACCCAACTTTGAGATGCCAGTTTCTATCCCAGTGTCCAACCACAACAGTTTGGTATACAGTAACCCAGTCAGCTCACTCGGTAACCCCAACCTTTTGCCACTGGCCCACCCTTCTCTGCAGAGAAATAGCATGTCTCCTGGTGTGACACATCGGCCTCCAAGTGCAGGTAACACAGGTATGCTTTGTTAAATCCCATTTCTTTAACTGATCTTTTCTGGGAGATAACTAATGTGTCTTTTTCACTTTAAACTGTACTAAAAGAGCAAGATCTTCTCAGTCATAATAGTTTCCCCAAAACTACTGTGTTGAAAAATCAAAGACAAAACTGAAAAGGTTCCTATGCCAAAATTAGAAAATAAAAATAACCCTGAAATAATGTTCTTGAAACAGATGAATATTGGCTAAGATTAAAGGAAATCAATAAAAGATAAAAAGGAGACGATTTGCTGTTTTACAAAAAAGGCAGCTCATTTGCTTGTTTCATGCAAGAATTCAGCAGACAGATTTCCATAAAATTTGAAAAAATAAAGTGTGGTCAAAGCAAGCCTGTCTTTTAGAAGTAAAATAGGCCTCTAATTACTGAAATCAACAGTCGAGAGGTTAAATGGAGGATTTGTGATTATTTATATATTCAAAAGATCATTGATGGGTAAATGTTAGTCCATCTCCAAGCTGGAATGTCTTGTTGGATAAGCAATCAGTTGCTTTCTATGCTTAGTGATATATAGGGTCACCTCTGATCAGGATAAATGAGGATTAGTCTCATTCTTCCTGGCCAAAGCAATGTCATCCTTAAGGATTTTGAGTTCCATTCAAGGACTCCAGTCCAAGGAAGAGTTAAAAAAAATCCTCAGAGCAACTGTGTGTGAAAGGGTTGAGAAATTTATAATCAACAATTAAGCAAATACATACTATAATTACATAATTTATAGTACCTTCACTGTTCACTGGCCTTTTCCAATAAAGTGGTATTTATCTTGTTTTTTCTAATTCAAATAAAATTAAAATAAATCTGCTTTACAAATGATTACGTATAGTCAGACTGAGTATAATTTTTTTTAATATTAGTGATTTTTCTTACACAATGGAAAGCTGAAAATCTACAGGCTATCAGCTATTGCATTTATTTTTAAGCTTGCCTGTCACCAATGAACAAACATGATAGCTGTTAAACCTTACTAGGGGCATTTAAAAATGTTTCAACTATGGACATGAACTAGTGGACACTAAAGTCACTTAGGAATGCTTGTAGGCTTAAGATCAGGCCATCTGTGAGTAGAAAGCTGGTTAGTATTGCTTAAAGTGCTTAACTTTTGTGGTTTGGGTTGGGGTTTTTTTTTGTTTCTATGTTTGTTTTTGGTTTTGGTTTCTTGTCATTCTCATTGTGACTTTTATTTAAAACCATAGGTGGCCTGATGGGTGGGGACCTCACAACCGGTGCAGGCACCAGTGCAGGTAAAAGGAAGATTACTCATATTAAATATTATAAATCAGTGGGGCACCAAAACAGATAGTTAGTATAGACTTAGTCTTTAAAAAATTGTATGTTTGGGATGACTTTTAAAGTGTTCAGCATTATCGTAGTTCTCTCAATTCAGTGGGAGTTTTACCATCAACTTCAAGGGGATCAGCATTAGGCTAGTGTTCAGCACCATTCAAAACCCCACCTCCTGAAAACCCCATGTAAAAATCTCTGGACGTCTTCATTTTCCGCTTAACATCAAGGATTTCAATAAAAATCTTTGGGCCCAGTGATTTAGCCCTTAGACAACCAAAAGTCCTAGTGAAAGTCAATTCTAATTGAAATCCTGACTCTTATTGTATATATTTCAGCGAAGTGTTTAAATACATGCTTCAGTTTAAGCACATGTAAACTGTCCCTGCTCAGCAAAATACCTTAGCATGTGCTTGAGTTAAGTACATGTTATTAGTACTCTTTTTGAGCTAAAAAGGTAACAGTGAGGAGCCAGAAGTGAACTGTCGCCTAATTTTAAGCATTTTCTTAATGCTTCATGGTATTGGTCCCTAAGAGACTAGGAGAATATTGGTTTATCCACTCACTGGCTGACTGGGAGCTATATGAAAGATTAGTAGGGAGATCCATGTTGTGTACCATAAACCAGAGATAGCAATAATTGGTGATATATACAGAAGCTGAACCCCTTGACCCTGTACTTTAGAGGGACTTACTCCTGGTACTTGAAACACTATTTCTTTTTGGGCTGCACTCTTCTCATCTTGCCTCAGATCACACACTTTCATTTTTCATTGTGTGCAGATGACTTGCAGATGTTTGTGTGATACATCTCTAGTAGAATTGAAACTGAGCATCACTGTAACCAAGAAACTTTCGACTAGTACTGCACCTTTCAGAGGTCATTTTATATTCACTTAGGACTAGAACTTACAAACAATAGAAACATAAGGCTTTTTGGTTGTCTCTCTTGTTTTCATAATACCCATACTAGAAAATGACAATTTCCTTAATTATCTTTTGTTATTCTTTGTAACACAGCTGAAAAAAGATTTGGTCTGTTGGTGTTTGCATGTTAGACCCTTCCTTGACAATTTACATGATAGAAGTTTTAGATTCTGCAGCAATGAAACAGGGAAAGGAAATTGATTGCCCTATTAATGGGCTCCCTCTACTGGCTTGCTAAGACATGCCATTGTAGTACAGCCATGGGCTTGTCTGTTGTTTTAGAAAGGTGCTGGGAATTAGTAAACACAATGTTTCTTTTAAATATATATATTTGTGCACACTAAAATAGAAGTTATTCTAAGTGTCCAGTTGTCTTTATCATTCTTTATGCTCTATAAAACCTGTGTGTTATCATACTCAGTTGGAGGACATATTCTTTTTACATGTATACTATTTCTCTTTGAAATAAGTGTAATGAAAAGGACAGAAAGAGGATAGAGAAAAATAGAGAATTTGAGTTGCTTATTGGCAATATTATACACTTGACTTTCAAGCAGTGTACCTTTGGAGTCATCAATTGATTTAGCTGTATATAAAACAGACATTACTAAGAATGCATCATAAATATTTAATTGTATGAATAGTCTTTGTTCTTTATCTAGTAAAACACCAATACAGTTATGCTTGTCATGCCTTAAATTCAAAGCAATAGGAGGGATTTGCTATAGTTATGAAGGAAGATGAGAGGTCATTATAAGGCCGAATCATCTGCCTCAGTAGCATCATTCAACAATGCCACTATTTTGGAAAGTTCTCTCTCTCTCTCTCTTTTAAGGGTACAGAAGAATAAACATCAAAAGTTCTCTTTGTTCAACACTTCTTGTAAGAAACAGAGACCCCTGTGTTTTTTCCATTTGGCTTCTTAGATGCTCATAGCATGATCATGTGGTTTAATCTGTTAGGGTTCATATTTTTCACCATATTATAACTTTATAAATTTGCATTTTTCTGCAGTATCTAAAAATAGCATATATTTGAAATAATACACTCCAATGAGAAGATTTGAGTTAAGAGTTCCATTTCAGTCACTACAAAAATGAAACAATTTTTTATTGTTAACACAAGGGCATCAGTTTCTGCATTACTTTAACAAATTACATGATAACTAGAAAATGGCAAACGGAATAAGCTACTTAGGTTAGGTAAGTCCATGTTTTGAAAACTGTTATTTTGTTGGTTTGAATTGTTCCAAGTAATAACCCTGAAATCATCCACAGTTTTACCTTGGGAGTCAACCCAAGACATAAATAGAACTGCAGAAAGCTGACTGCTTCTTTATTATCCTACACAACCAAATACCAGTAGTGGTATTTTTAACTAAAACCAAGGTTATCTCAGATTTGTTAGTGTAAATTTGTTCTTATTCCAACACTGGTTGGACAGTTGATATCATGTGACAGTAGCAACTGCCAACAAAATTAGTGTGAACTTCCCATTTTGTATAGTTGCTAAATTATAAATATAGCAGTGTCTTTGGTGCCATTCTCTTAAACCAGAGACCTTTGATTGAAAGAAAGAACAAGAGTTCTTTAGACCTAAATCAGTATGTTCTCAAACCACTTTTTAGTTACATCCTTCAGTTTAACCCATAGCTAACATGAAAACGAGGTGACATGCTACCTGGTAACATAGTAAAGTTTATGAAGTTATTTTAAGTTTTAAGGAGACCGTTATTCTTAGATGTAAACAATGTAAGTTATGGGTAACTTGACAAGAAGCAAATCATGTCCATTAGTTGTTTTTAGTACTGTTTGTTAATTAAGCTATAGTTTGACATCAATGTTGAAAGTCTGGTAAAATGATAAAGATTTCAAAAAATGGTTAACTGCTTTTTAAATCATAATGCTTCTGTTTATCTTGAAGGCCTTTCTTTGCAAGTATATGTTTGATCTTGTGGTTAGAACTATCTCTAAGGTTGGGTTGTATTTTGCAGTTTATTCCACAACGAGACCATTGGGTAATGAACACTTTTTTCCCTTTTTTTCTATTTAACTAGGAATATGTTGTGAAGGTATTTCAGCTCCATATTTTCTTGTATAAAACTGAATGAATCCACCTTAGTCAACAGACTTTCTTCAAGTTTACAGCCCAATAAATAATAGTAATAATTAGTTATAATAATAGCAAAAATAAAATAAAATCTTTAAAGACAGTCTAACATACTTAAAATGGACTCTAGTATTTTCCTCAAAAGTGTCATATTTATTTTGTTTCTATACTTTTCTGGAATTTTCTCTTCTGTCAGTTCCATTTATTCTCTACCATATTTCTTAAGCTACATGGCTAAATTGTCAAAATATTTAGAGATTTTAGGACCTGATTTTCAAATGGTACTAAGTACTTACCTTCTGTATGTGGCCTCTTTACAGTAACTCCACTTGGACATTAAATCATTAGTCACTAAAAAATTACTAGTAATTTCTAGAAACCTAGTTCCTTTTAAAAACTTATTCCAATAGTAATCTATAGATCATGAGGAGGCAGAGACTACTTAAGGAGGCATGCAGTACAATCCCTCTTCTGGAACTTAAATACAGTTTACCAATGGTCATCTCAGCTTTGGCCAGCTTGAGCCTGGGATCTCTCAGTCAGAACATGCTATGCTATACCATTCGGTATACTTTTCCTGGTCACATATTGACTGTGCTTGAATGCATTATATATTCTGTTTGTCTTTCAAACCAAATAGAAATGTGTGTAATAGTCATTTTTAATTTATAAGCCCTCAGGTGAGAAGAATTATGGGTGGCACCCTTTCAAAAATACAATTAAAGAATGATTTACAAAAAAAGAAACAATATTTCTAAAAATGCTGTGAGCTTTAGTGAGGGCAGTCAGGTTGGGATTTCCAAAGGCAACTAACTGTTTTGGTCTCCTTTGATATCAAACTAAAACAAATTTGTGATAAACAACACAAATCAAACAAATTATACAAAAATCCTTTAATCTTTCTCTCAGGATGTGCTTTGGTGTCTGTAAAGAGGAAGATAATTCATGGGCCATAAGTATGGATTATGTTCAAAATAAAAAGAAGAAGAATGCTTTTCAGTCAAAAGCTTGTATAATTTTTATCCTAGCTGTATACTTGGTCCAATAAAAAGCATCACCCAAACAAATTGTTGCCTCTTAAATAAATATATAAGAAACTACTATTATTAACACCATCCTTTATGTTCTGGTAGCATTTAGCATTCTATCTAGCAAGGTAGAATTCCTATTGTGCTAGGTGCTGTACATTTGCATAGCACATGGCAGTTCCTGTCACAACAATTTCACAATCTAAAAGAAAGAGCTTGCAAGTATTTATTATAAGATTCTGACATTTACCAGATCATGGTGGATCTTCAGTTCATTTAGGCCTGTGCCCAAGACCTTTTCATGCAATATTTAATTAACCAAATAATTTGGGAAATGTTGGGAAAATGCAATAACTGTTAGATTATTCTATTTCCCTTCTGATTTTTGAACATTCAAAGGGTTCTTCTTTAACTATGATTTTTTTTAATATAACTCAGATTTTCCAATTATCATTTGACTCCCAGAGATAAGTCTTACAACACTAAGATGTGCAGGGATGTGGGCACGCTAGATGGGAGAAATAGGCTGCAATTGGACCTAGACAGGTTACAGGGGTGGGTGGATGAGAACAGGATGGGTTTCAACACTGACAAGTGCAAGGTGATGCACCTGGGGAGGAAGAACCAGCACCATACCTACAGGCTGGGGAACTCCCTTCTCGTCAGTCCAGAGGCAGAAAAGGATCTTTGTGTCATCATTGATGCCAAGATAAACATGGGCCGGCAGTGTGGGGATGCAGTCGTGAAGGCCAACCATACCTTGTCATGCATCCACAGATGCATCTCAAGCAGGTCCAAGGAGGCGATCCTCCCCCTCTATGCGACACTGGTCAGGCCGCAGCTGAAGTACTGTGCCCAGTTCTGGGCACTGCACTTCAGGAGGGATGTGGACAACA